CCCCATTCCATCTGGGGGGGAGGGGAAAGACGACTCCCAGAACCCCCAGTCCCCCTCTCACGTGCAGTCCTGCTCCCCCAGCCCCGATTTGGGGGGCACGGGACCCCCAGGACCCCCCCCTCACTTGCAGTCCTGCTCCAGCTCCCAGAGCAGCTTCACCCCCACGTCCTTCGCGGTGTCCCCGCGGCAGCGCCGCAGCTCCGCCGTGTTCCTCTCCTGAAATCACATCCTAAACCATTCCAGCTGGGGTGGGGTGACCCCCCACCCCAGTCCTGCCCACCCCTAGGGTCTCACCAGGCGCCGGCACAGGGTGCGCAGGAGGTTCAGGGTGTCCCAGCGGCGACAATTGTCCTCCCAGGATGAGGTGACAGCCACCACAGGTTTGTCCCCGTGCCAGGGTAGGTGGTGGTACAGGTTCCCTGTGCCACCAAAAAACAGGAATTGAACTCTCCAAGAGGTTTTTCTGGGGGGTTGGAAAACCAATATTCCTTTGTTGGGTGCACTCAAATGCACCTCCAGAACCCACCAGAGCACGGGACAGTCATGGACTGATCCATATTCATCACATTGTGTTACATATTCATCACATTTAATGAATACTCTGCCCATTATCTCCATGGAGTTATTTAGATCTGAGTAGCAGTCTTTCGAGAGGCTTTGGTGGTCATTTGCAAACATCCCATTCCCCAAATTTCCCTTTGATGGTTCTGGATCTTTTGATGAATCTTCTCTCCTTGAGAGCATCTCAAATACATGCTCAGGTCACGGTGCCCCTTCCCTGATCTCTCTGCTGTGACACTCAACCTTTGTTCCCCAAACTGAGACATCTCCCAATCCATATTAATTAATCACTGATTTAGGTAATTAATGAAGGACTAATTTGCACAAGATTATTAATCACAGATATAGAGAATTAACACAAAGCCACTTTAATCTCTGGTGTTTGTACTAAGCAATACATGGTACAAAACTAAGCCTGATATAGGGATCAAACACTATTTTTGTACTATTGTTTTATTATTCTCATATAATACTTTAGATATGTGTATAATATTTTCTATATTTATATAATATTTTATATTTACATGATATTTTCTGTGTTTATACAATACACCCTGGTTTGTGTCTGCCCCCCTCTCGGGGTGTCCCCCCCACTCACCATCAAACACGGGGGGGCTCAGGGGGGTGGCCGAGGAGTCGTGTCCAATCCCGAGCTCAAATCCCAGCAGATCAGGACCCTCTGGGACCATCGTGGCTGAGTAAAACACCCCACAGAGCCCCCACTGGCACCGGGGTGGGAGCTGCTGCTGCAAAATAACCCCAAAACCACTCAAATGGGGGGTTAATTAATGGTTTGAATTAATCGTTTGAATTACTCATCAGCACTATATTAACCACAAGCCAGGGGTTGGTCTTAAAGCACTTTCAGATGGCATTCAGCAAAGTTTGGCTTTTGTGGGATCACAGGTTGAGGAAATTAGTGGGACTTTGAGTTTTGCTAAATTAACCCTGATGGCCTTCAATGAACAAAGCCTGGGGGAAAGAAATATTAAAGTATACATTAATCACATGTTAATTATATTAATATATTATTAATATATATTAATCACATGTTAATTCTATAGTGGATATTAAATATCATATAGTACGTGTTAATTAGATATACTATAGTGTATATGTAGTATATATTTTATATATAAATACTTAAACCATATTATATAATATACATTATATATGTTATATGCTGAATATATGTATTAATAAAAATAAATAAGTATGTGTCCCCATGTCCCACATCCTCCATATCCCCGTGTCCCCATATCCCCCATGTCTCCATGTCCCCCTGTCCCCATGTCCCACCTGTGCCCGTTCCACATCCACGGGTGCCACAATGTCTCTCTGCCGCTCGTCTGGGGTCCCCTCACTGGTGCAGATCTCCAGGAGCACCCGACCCCGATAATCCACCCCCAAGTCCTGGGTAACAAAGGGGAGGTTTGGGTGGGCATCCCTCCCCAAAAAGGCCTCTGTGCCCATCCTGCCATCCCCCTGTGCCTATCCCGTCACCCCCCTTGTGCCCACCCTGTCACCCTCTCACTCTGTACCCGGGCACAGTCGGGCCGGGGACCATACAGGGGCAGGAAGGCGGGTCCAAAGCAGGGTAGGAAGCCGGGGGTCCCCCCTGAGATCAAAAAAAAGGGGAGTCAGGGTACCAGGGGGGGTCTGGGTGCTGGGGACCCCCCAACAGTGGACCCTGCTCACCCTGGAGTTCCTCAGGGTCTTGGTAGATCTGGGACAGGTGGATGGTGGCAGTGCCCAGGACTTTGCTCCGGCATGACCTGTGGAGGGGAGTGTGAGGGGTCCCCCAAACATGGGGGGGTCACCCAAATACAGGGATGTTTCCCAAATCCGAGGAGGTGTCCCCCAATCCCAAGGTGCCCCCCACTCACCCCCGGAGAAGGTCCAGCTGGATCTCCTCACAGATGGGGGGCAGCTGCAGAGGGAGAACAGAGGGTGTGGAGTGGGAAAGGGGGTGTGGAAATGAGAATGCGGGTGTAGAAATGGGAGTGTGGGGATTGGAATGGGGATGTGGGAATGGAGGAGTGGGTGTGGAAATGGGGTGTGGGGTTGGGAATGGAGGTGTGGGAATAGGGGTGTGGAGTGAGAATGGGGGTGTGAGAATGGAGGTGTGGATGTGGGAATGGGGGTATGGGAATGGGGCTGTCCCCCTTTTTTGGGTACCCCTGTTTTGGGGAGAGGTGTAGGATGGGGGTCTGGGGGGACACCTCACCCTCAGTGGGAAGAAGAAGACCTCGTTCCACTCGGGGTTGGCACTGGGGAGCATCACTCGGGTGCAGAGCTGCATCAGGCAGAGCCGTGAGCCCCCCACCATCACCCAGTCCCCCTGTTTTTCCTGATGCGCCCCATTCCCTGCCCAGCACTCACCGTCCTGCCAGCAAAGCTGACCCGCACTGCCACCTTCCCCGAGCCCCTCCTGACGCCCAGGCATGGCCGCGCCGGCTCCACTGCCACGGGAAG